ATTGGATATCGGATGCTTTCTGGAAAAGAATTAAATAAAGAAACCTAGTAAAAATTAAAATCTTATATGAAAATGATCTGCAACGTTAAGTAGAGCTAAACTTAGAATGTAGAGCATTTAATAAACTTATTGAAAAGCTAAGAAAAACCAACAAAAAAGCTTATTGTGACGATTTAGAAATGCAAGCGTAGGAGGCAGCTTCAAAAAGCGATATGAGAGCACGCATATGGTGGCCTAAAATAATAAGTAATGTTCGACTTTGAAAAATTTGCGAACAAGATATGATTGAAAAAGAAATACTTAAGCGTAAGTACGGTTGGTTGGGATATATGCTGAGAACAAATTATAACGAAGTACCTCATGCTGTACTAGAGTGGAACGAACTCACAAGGTGTAAAAAGTAGAGGCAGGCCGAAGTTACCTTGGCGGAGAACAGTGACTCAGAAAACAGGAAAGACGATTGGTGAACTTTGCACAATTGCGCCCAACAGAAATAATTGAAGAAGCTACGTGAATCTATTTTGTGAATAGACAATGTTTATTTTTTCAAACTATATAAACGTCAATAATATTAATAATAATAAAAAGTGACCCTTACAACTAGGCGAGTATTGATGAGTAAGGGAAAATATAACACCCTCTTAAAATTAGAGAGAAACAGTGATATGAAAATTCGATAACAATCCAATTTATCTCTTATATCGACATCTATCAAATAAAGGCTAAGTTACAAATTATTGAAAATTATTTCAAAAGAATTCAGTGCTATAAGGAGTCCTATGTAAAATATTTATATAATGTATTTAGTATCTAATATTAAAATTTATACTTATTTTCTTACTTATTTGGCCATAACAACCCGTTGCCGAGTTTCGACCTGGCATAGCATATGTGCCTTTTCCAGTCTCGTACATCAAGTCCGGTTAGTGATTCCTCAACTTGATAACTTCATCGGAGACACTATCTGCCTTTAAGTCTTCCTCCACCAACCTTACCAAATATTTTTTCGCTCCAACATCTTCATCCAGGCAGCGAAGCCAATGTGTGTCAACTCGCTGCATTATATCTATGTTGTGATTAAGCTCATATAGCTCGTGGCTCATTCGTATGCGGTAGTCGACGCCAACTCGTAGAGGACCCAAAATCTTACCAAGAACATTTCTTTTGAACACTCACAGTGCTGCATCTCATGAGAAGCATCATGAGAAGATGCTTCTCTCATGTGGGTACAGTAATTTGTCTTATTAGGAATATACTATAATTGTTAGCAGCATTTTGACTTTGATCGATCTATCATTTATAATATGTGTATGTCGATGTTTTATCTTCAATACACTTTAATTTTGCATCTACATACATAAATATATCTTGAAAGATTACCATAATATATTTTAAAAAATATAATTATTTTTATAAATCATAAACTATCGATTGCCAAATAAATCTGAAAGCCTTGCTAGTGATCTTTAATCTCCACCAAAATGAATATAATTGAACCCGAAAGTAATCTGTTGATATAGGGAAAAAACTATTTTATATACTATGACTATATTACAATACTACAATGTGTATAAAAGTATGTTTGTAATTGATCGAATGCAATAAGATACATTTTCTTTAATTATTCGAAATTGCGTACTTTATTAGAGACAATATTCAGAAAATCATTTCATTTACCTCTTTACTTTCTAAAAAAATACATTTATGTGTATAAATATTCAACCTATTTAGATAAGCTAAGGTGTATACATATGTATATATGTATATATATATATGAATATGCTAATGTGTATTTATATTGATGCATATTGTTTCCAATTAAAGATGATACCAAAAAGTTGCACTAATTCGAAAGTATTTTGTGTTAGGCTATGAACACGTGTTCGGAAGTACTTGAACTCTTGAAGCTACAAGACTTTTAAATATAAAATTTTATTGTTTCTTAACAGTTTAAATCAATGGTTCAATTGGAAAATATTTTAATATAAACAAAAAATGTAAAAACATTGAAGTATTTTTAAACATAAACAAATTAAACGTGGATATACCGATCGCTTCCTTACCAATTAATAAAACAGAAATTGCTTAACTTGACTCTTTTCTGATTTCTTTATATAAATCTTTTGGTGTATCTTTTCCATACCTTCCTTTATTTTTAAATATATGTATAAATACAGTATATAATTAAATGTTTGTTGTGTACGAAAATGTAATTATATTTACATTAAAAGGTATTTAAATTCCGCTCTTCCTTTTTATTTTTTATTTGTTATTTTTTAATTTTTCTTCTCTTTGTAATATTGATGCGCATATGTAAATGAATCTAAACATTGATTTTATTTGTTTATCTCATTTAGTTTATAATTTTGTGACCTGATATTGTTGTCTTTATTGTATTTGTTGATATGTCTTTTCAAACAAAAGATACACACCTACACATACATATCGCGAAAAAAGCGTTTCCGTAATAATATAAGTATAGTAGGATTATATATACAATAAGATATAATGAGTGAAATATATTTATTATAAAAAAGCAAGGCTATCCATTTTGTGGTTTCATAAGTAAATATAAATAAAATTCACTTGCGATTAAGATTTCGATCAAATTTTTATTTTAATATATTGGACCTTGTTATCAGCTATAATTTATAACATTATTTAAATAGTTTTTGCGGGATATCTAACTTGGCAATATGCACAAATGGTATTCTCAAGTCAAATTATGTTCGGCCATACCTTGACGGATATCCATTTTTAAAGCGACGAGAAATTAGGAATAGAAATTAATGGGGTTCTAGCTCCCAACGGAGCGGAGCATTGCGAACACGATTGATCCTTCGTGCTGCTGACGAGAACTTAAATATTGTCCACATAAACACAATACTATTTTGCATATCTCCACAATAAAAGGTTCAGTAGCGACAAAACTTAAAATTAAACACCCAGAAAATTTGTCGAATAAAAAAGCTAAAGAAGGATGTTTTGTGCGGTTTGTAATACAATCTTGTTGAATATTTGCCACATCATTATCATTACCATAGTTTCAAGCAAAAACTATAGTAGTCAACTATAGTATTTTGTATTATATTTTCGATGTTTTCAAAAAAGTACGCGCTTATCAAATCGCAAAATTAAATCCTACACAGTGGGATAGATTCTTGTGAATGTAATAGGTTTTCGCCAATTATTTATAGACTTTTACTGTCCCAAATGTTACAATTTAATTTGCTGACATATTCACCAAAAGAGAAATAAATTTCAAAGCAAAAAATCGTTATCAGTAGTCGTAATTTTTTCTTTTAGAGTAGCAAAAAAATACTCGTAACTTACGAAAGAAAACATCTGAAGCAACAACAATGCTCTTAAAATCTTCAGAGTAAAACCTATACTCGCAAAAATTTGTTAGTCTTAAGTTTTAATGCAGCTAAATTCAAAAATTAATCAATTGTGAGTGTTCACTGGAAAAATGTTATAAAATTCCAGTCCTCCATTAAAATTATATAAGCATTTCTTTTATATATTTCTTATATATATATTCAAATACATAAATAAATAAATTAATTTAAATACGTAAGATAAGAATGTTAAGCATTGCCTTTGTAATATTCATTATGTTTTCTTTTTTTAAAATTAATTAAATTTTAGTATTTACAATTTTTATATATCATACTGTAGATACACAATATAACAAAAAACATGTCAAAAATAATCATTTAACATATTTTAAAAGTGTTGCCAATTCGTTTCAACCAGATTTAATGCTGTTTTTTCACAACTCTGAAAGAAAAAATTATAACTATTATAACTACATTTTTTTATAAATCAATAACTTAAATCTGGTAAACTTCAAACATTTAACTAAGAAGATTTAATATTGAAGGATTATTCATTTTCAATACGGAATAACTTGTTTAAGCATACGATGTAAGTTAATGTCAATGGTATATAGCTGGTAAATAAATCTTTAAGAAATACATACATTTAAAATCCTAAAAATACAAAAAACAAAATACTAAAATACTATTCTTTTCATTTATTAAGTACACATGCAAACAATTACAGCGGAAGCATTTCTGGTCCTAAAAATTTGGTAAAGAATTAATTAAATCTATATAAACTATGGGAATCCAACATCACCAATTATAAATGTCTGTAATTAAATTGGTGTAACTCAAAAAATTATTGTAAAGTGAATATAAAAGACAGTTGATTTTGGAAAATATTTTATTTCATTATTACTATAAATCTAAGTTTAGAAGGATAATTTATAATACATTATTCTTTTTATAGCTTAGTTCTCGAGAAATCGTTCATGCCCGGGAAATTGGAATCGCGCCAAATTTATACTAACGTTAAGTGAAACATTTTGTAATTGTTTAAGATAATTACTTAATACAATAAAAATATAAGCATTCTACGTCTGAATAAATCCAATATTTATAATTACATATTTATTGAATATAAAATTTTATTTAAACATCTTGCATTAACCTAATATAATATTTGTTTCAAATTCTTAATATAGTAAGTAAGTTTTGAGATACAAAAGTAACGCATATTTCTATATAATATACTTTAATTATTTAAAGCTGCAACTATAATATTGCAATATCAAAACTGATGTCTAAGCTGAAAGTCTGTGGTACTATATCAGAAGCTGAAACCGAAGCGTGTTTACAAGCTGCCGTTAAGATAATGAGGTATTATTTTATGGATGAATTGTGTGTGCTTGCAGTTCCAGTTCTCTTACCAATATTTATATAAATACAATTCTAAATAAATATATTGCTTTATTATTTAATTTTTTGTGTTTTAATAATTATAGATTCTGGAAAGTATTAAAATTGTAATTTTTCTTGTAAAGAGGGGTTTAATATTTTTACTATATTATTGCTCCTATTACCAAAAATTTAACTAGATAATTAATTTAATTATTAACTTAAGAGTTTACAGTTCCCGTGAATTAAATTATAACTATTTTTTCATTATTTAAGCTTTCCATACATCATACAAACATTTTTTTATGATTGATTCAGATTGTTTATACGTACAGTCATGAATTGATGGGTATGTATTTTTGGTTCAATATCAGCTTTCTCTTCAGCTTCAGTTTCAGTTTCGCTACAAATACGACGGGTTTATGTATGGCAATGCCATCTTCATATAATTTGCTCCTACTATTCGATATTTAAAGAGTGGAGTATATTAAATACATACATTGAATTTTTAAAATTGTTTTTATGATTAGAACCAATTATTCTTGCTCAGGAATTAGTTCAGACGCCCAAACATCTTGTGGCCATCCTGTGCGTCCTTTGTTCGGTCGATAAATGTTCTGAAATGAATAAAATATAATTGTTTTTGTGTGTTTTATTTTATTAAACTTTTTTATAACTGATTATTCTAATAACAAAATTTTATTTAAATAATTTTGAAAATTTTTATTAAAATATATATTATATTGTCACCAATATTTCGACTATAGTCTGTAGTCAGCTTCAAATTACCCTGAATTAAAAAAATTATAAATCAAACTTTTATATATATGATAATTTACTATTGCTGTTAAAATTTGCCAATAGGATCTTGAAGTCTTATAATATTAGACCATGTTAACCATGATGAATGAGAATGAATGTTAAAATTTAGACTGAAGGAATTAACTCTGTTGGAACGGATTCAACATATCAGCTGTAATTAAAATTGTAATCTATAATGGCACAACTGTACATAATATGTAAGTCTGTAATTTATTCAGACATCAGGAACTAATGGGTTTATTTGTGAAAATTTATTGTTTTGTTAAACGTGATTATAACTATTTCACTGAAGAATAGTTTTTGATGTTCTTTTTTGTTTTAGAAATTATAATCTCTCTAAACAAACTTTTTTTCGTAATATCCTTGTAATGATCTTCTCAGAATATTTAAGAATGATTTACATATGTTAATAGTGAAGCCACATCAGCAAATCTCTCTGAAGAAACTTTTTTTCTCCTTATCCTTGTAATGATCTTCTCAGAATATTTAGAAATGATTAACAAGTGTTAATAGTGAAGCCACATCATCAAATGATAAATCCACGCTAAAAATTCAAAAATTTTCCACTGCAATAATCTAAATCTGTAGGCTAACCCATTTACTTGGAAGAAATCTCTGATAAACTGAAAGAAATTTCAAGATAATAAGATAATTTTTTTTTATACATATGCTTTTTCAACTTATACAGACATATTATAACCATAAACCATATAGTCCAAAGTGAAAATTCGTTTTCCATTCATACTCATATGTATATACTGTTTGTGAAAGAAAGAGCCAGGGTTCTCTGAAACATTACCTAAAATGAGCAATATCTTGTTGCTCAAGTTCTTTTCCTTCAAATATATTATAATTATGGGCAAAAGTTATTTTTGAACCAGTATTCAAAAAGATCTTAGTCATCCAGTCTTTCTGATTCTTGAATTTTCTAAATGATAAACTTACAGTAGTTAAATCTTAAAATCTCCTGCAGCATTTAGATGAAGAATCTATATACAATACAAGACAATACTATATATTAAGAAAAAATACAGATTTTTCAGATTTTGAAATTAAAATTATTTCAAGCATTCGCTTCCAATAGATTTCTCTTTCGTTTTAAAATTACGGTTGGATTTATCGTATAAGCGGCGATCGTACACCGAGGTATGGATGTATGGATATAGTATATCTTTATAGCAAATCATCCCACATTTCGGACGGATTTATTCCTTATTATTATTTTCAAGTTTTAGCAAACTTAAATCCATTAATACTGATATATCTTTATAACATTTTGACTTGAGTTAATGTTTATCGCTTGTGCTTGCTTTCATGGTCGAATTTGATTAACCCAAAAAACCAATGGGATAATGAGCTGATTGACCGATAAAATGTTTCAGCATACATAGGTTTCGTAAATTAATACGATGGATTCAATACTTTAATACGATGCCTACTTCTGCTCTGTATTGTTCTTGTTTATATTTTCGTATGCTTCGAAATACTTAAAAATAGTGATGTATATTATTTAGGGGGAGTGTAATGCAAAATTCGTGATAAGTGCATATCCACTACGCGTTCCATGTACATAATAACTTAATAGCCTATCTCTTTGTTTTTTGTTCGGCTGTATGTCTATGTAGTAACACTTGAAACCATAAAATCCCAAACATAAAACATCATAATTACATTGGGCAATTATGCACAACAACAACGTTCCTAATAAATCTACACTTGCAGCATTCGTATATCTTTTTCTTTATCGGTGGTTATAAATGGAATAAACTGGGTGGTGGTTATTTCTGTATTGGTTTTATTGTTAGAGACGCTTATGAAGTTAATAAAACGAATGGCTTTATCAGTAAATGCTTTTATACTAATAGAAAAATTTAAAAAAAAAACAAACACTAAGCAACCAAAACAATTATCATTATTCCAAAAAAATTATACTCAAAGTGCATAATTTTTAAAATTTATGTTGGTTTTTCTAAGTACGTTTTCTACAAATTTGTTGTATCATCTATAAATTTATTATTATTTCAATTAAATCGGTTAATATATCAACTAAAAATGTACCAATTACTATAAAATTGACTTTCTTGAAGTTTAAACTACATTTTCATTTCTGTGAAGGTTAAAAAACAAAATTATAATAGAATTAAACACATTTGAATTTTTTTTTAGATAAACCATCAATCTATCTCAATATATACTGCGGAGCAGGAACAGGGATCTTCGTACCATCTGAAAACATGAATTATTCACCTAGGCTAACTAATGACGCCACGGTTTTTCAGACTGAAATCGTAACAATTAGAGAAGACTGTCGGCAAATTGCAAGTCACATCGAGAACAGATGTAGTGTTGTCATTTACATTGAGAGCCAGGCAGTAATCAAAACCCTTGAATCTTTCATAACAAACTCAAAGTTAGTAAAGGAAAGAAGCAAACGACAAGCTCATCTGGGTTCCTGGACATAGAAACATCGAAGGGAACGAGAATGCTGACAGTTTAGACCGCTCTGGTAATTCCCTGGATTGTCCCTGGCGGTACCGGTTTACATTACCCTAGAGACCATTAAGAGAAGTGCGTTCTTCTACTTTCTGCAATTTGCCAAAAACAGATAGAAAGCACATAAGTCATGTGCAACTTCCAAGGTTAACATGGACCACCTATAATAAAGTTAGATCTTCGAAACTCATCAAAAGAGACCGCACTCCTCATAATCCTCACTGCAGAAATTGTGGAAATTCGCAGGAAAAAGAAACCATAACACATTTTCTCTGTGAATGTCCGACTTTGGCATCCAGAAGATATAGGTTGTTAGGAAGATACTTCATTGATAGTTTATCAGAATGTTTATCAGTGAAGACGAAAGACATTAAGTTATCTTACTTCGGCGAAATGGATTTAGTCTTTATTCTTCTATACTTGGGTTTTTGTGAAGAATGTGGTAGCAAAACGGCGAAAAATCGCTAATTAAGGTACATTAAAGTTATCTAATAGCGTGTCACTGCAACTAACCAACCAACCAAACAATCAATCACTTACTCCACCTTAACAGTAGTACCCTAGTGAAAATTATGGTAATCCATGACCCATTATATTTTGTGATAATGTTTTTATTATTTTCATGACAGAAAACGATATCGTCACCAAAATCATATGAAAATAATTCACTGCCTTAATACCTTAATAAAAACATTTATCGATCATATTCTTTCACACCATAATATATATTTGGCTGCTTTCAACGACAATTTACTATCGATACATAAAGCCAAGATTTTTAATTCGTACCATTCATTTAATTGAATAACTTCAATTTAAAAAAAAAATCGATAAATAAATATGGTTATTCTAAAATATTGTGCCTACTTTAAAGTAGGATCTATCCGCTAATCCGTTTTTAAATACGCCATTGGAACCGATTTACATAAGAGTTTGTTGAAAAGAGTTTGGGAATCTATAGAAGACCGGTTAAGTGAAAATAGATTTAAAAGATCTAACAAATAATATGTTTACCTACTAATATAATATAATGATTTCATTAATTAGTTTCTGCCGACCAAACTAATTTGGTTGTGATATAATATGATTTCGTTCTAATATAAACACAGCAAGTAAAATTGTTAATAAAAACTTTCATAGTAATAGTAACAAAACTCCAGAAAAATATGCGAACAAAAAAGTCAAGTACGGCTTTGGATCAGTTGGTTAAGGTGCGCTGATTCTGAGCTTCACATTTGGCAGGACCCGAGTTCGATTCCTGGTACTTGCAGTCTCAAAAAATAATTATTTACGAATAATTAAATACAAGAATTATTTCCAAGACCACTGATGATGGGTATTTGGCAATACTCGAAACAGCTGTATGGTCAGCCAAAAATTCAATTAATTAAAATAATATAAAAAATAAATTTTTGTTGTTGTATTTCACTACTGTTCGAAAAAACCTCGCTGTGATATAATTGAATCAATGAGGGAATGGGTTATCAGAAAATTCGTTTGCGACTAACCTTCATTAGATTACTATTTAAGACTACTAACCTTTAAAACCAGAAATTTTTTATTAAATACCTTGGAGATGTGCGGCATGTAACACCATGGATGTAGTCAAAGAGTGGTATTTGCTACTGCTTCAAATATTGAAATTATCCAAAGATCTCAGTCAAAAATACTGAGAACAATTGCTGGCACCAGTTTCTACCGAGATCTACGAATTCCCTTAGTTAAAGCTAATTTTGACAATATAAGAAAAAAAATACAATGAAAGGCTGACAGTACATGTTAACCCCTTAGCAAGGAATATCGCACTTCTATCCACTACTTCCCGCTTAAAAAGAACCTAAAAAGAGTCCAACCATTAATTAAAATTCAATAGCTTCAGGTAAAAACCACACTCTTCTTTTTAGTAATCGGATGAAGTTTAACTACTTTCTTAATAAACAACCTAACATTCACTCCAATAAATTTTAACCCATTGATCTAAGTGAGGTTCGTGACATAAGGTTTACTTATTTTATTTTATTTTATACAATATATAGTTAAAAATATAGAGCCCTGAAATTATTTGGAAAAACTGACAGGCTTCCCAACACCGCGTTATCAAATCTCAGAATGATTACAGGCTTCTCGGGGAGGTATGCAGATCTGAGGTCAATTATTGCTTAGTCTGATGAAGTGATAAACAATAATCCAGTCAAGGCATAAAGAGGGGTTTTGAAAATACCTCGAGTTAAGAAAGAGTAAAAGTACTCCAGTACACTGGCTCAAATAGCTTCAACATAATATAGTTAAAAATTAGAATATT